GATTTATTTGTTTATTATATAACGAATGAATTAACTAGCTCAGCTGGCCAAGACACGCGCATGTAACCTCAATGACCTGGGTTCAAGTCCCAGGTCTTGCAAAACTCAATATTATTTTTTCATTTGAATTTCCATGCAGCGCCAACATTAGGACTCACCATGCACATTCAAGAGGCATTCTCCACGTGTCCCAGGGGATCTGATCAAGGGTTCAGCTTGAAGGTATACCATGAGGACAAGTCAACAGGCGTGCATATGATTGGAAAAGTCCACAAAATTGCCAGCAAATGGGCCAGGCTTTTCAGGCCTACACCTCCAAATTTGAGGCCACACCCCCCTGGTTTGCCTTATTGTTTTTTCATTCTTTCTTTAATTTTTTATTTTTCTTTTTATTTCTTTTCCTTTTATTTAATTAACTATTTTCATAAAAATATAAAAACATTCAAAAAAATCAGAAAAGACCATAAAAAATATAATTTTTATTTTAATTACTTTTGTAACTAAATTACATGTAAATTATTTAGGTTAATTAGGTTTTAATCTTAATTTTAATTCTTTTTCATAATAAAAATCCAAAAAATGTAGAATTAAGTTAATTATTAATTTTTTATATCCTTTTTTAATTTTTTCCTTTTTTCTCACAATATTATTATTTATTATTTATTTTCTATAAATCAAAAATTGTACATAAATTAGTTTAGAATTTAATTAGGTTAGAAATTAAATCTTTTTTCATAATAAACTTAAAAAACATTAAAACTAGGGTTTAGCACTTTAATTCTAATTAATTTTTTCCTTTTTTCTTTTAAATCTAAAAAAACACAAAAAATACTATTTTTCATTCAATTTTAATTTTAGATTCCTTGATTAATTTTAATTATCTGTTAAAGGGTCCAACGCCCTACTTTTGTTTAGTCTTTATTTCGCGCATTTATTTTACATTGTTTAAATACCTCTGTATATGCCCCAAAGCCTTGTAATAAGTTTAGATTTATTTCTCGCACTTTTATTTATTCGCTTTATTTATTTTCAGTCAAATCGGGTTCGGTTTTTTTGGCGATGTGGACCCGCGCCAGTTGTAATAGTTAGATTTATTTTCTCGCAATATAACTGTTAATAAATATGCATGAAAGAATGAATGCCCAAAAAATAAAATCGAATCGTTAGATCACCAATACATGACAAGACAAACAATAAACTGAAAATGACACACAATTCGCACACACCACCCCTAGGGTACGCCTCACTGTTGCCTTTCGAAAGGTGGTCATCGAGTAGAAAACGTCTTAGTAAGTCCTCATGGTCCGGGAACCTGGCATGAGGGTAGCTTCTAAGGTGTCTTCCCATTGCTCCGGTGATCACCATGTCCCTAAAATCGAATTGACCCGAACCCCTCCAATGGTGGTGCTACCTACCTCTCAATGGTGGGATGGCACTACTTTAAAGGACATTTACACAGACGAATTCCTTAGGGTAGGTAGGTTCTCAAAGGTACTTGCTCTAATTTCAAAACAAACTGAAATCTTTTCACACCAACACTTTCAAAAAACTTTCAAAACAAACTTTTCAAACACTCTGACGTATGAGTTGAACTGAAACTTTTCAAAGAATATTTTTGAAACCCACATTGAAAATCAAGCAAACATTTTTGAAAACACATTGAGCAAGTACCTAAGAGCCCATGGATAACCATGGATAGAAAGGGTGCTAACACCTTCCCTTTCTATAACCTACCTCCCGAACCGAGAGCAATCTCTATAAAGGAATTTTTCTGTGCTTTTGTCCTTTCCATTTGGAGAAAATAAAAGACGGTGGCGACTCTTGCTTACCGCGACATTTCGCGAACCAGCTTTAAAACAGTCAGTTCCAGATCCACCGATCACACAAGATTATACCTAGTATGACAAAGACACCTCAGTGATCCAATAAACCTTCTAAATTGAGTTGGATCAATATCTCTATCATTTGAGTCCTTTGTCAGTTTTAACATTGGTTCAACTAGTGTTAATGTAGAATTGCAATGATCCATATCAAATCTCGAGTATTTTAGTAGAATACCTTCTCTGATGCATCATCACTCCTTTAATACACTTGTAGTACTGAATTCTAAGGAACTATGAGATGTTTCCAAGATCACTCATCTCAAATTCCTTCTTCAAGTCCAACTTGAAATCTTCAATTTCTTTCTTGCAGCTACATGTGATTAACAAGTCATCTACATAAAGGCATAATATGATTGGTTCATTTTTTATGCTTCTTCTAAGATACATATCATGCTCAATTGCACACTTTATGAATCTTATCTCTCGTAGGAAACCATCAATATTCTTATTTCAAGCTCTTAGAGCTTGTTTAAGTCCATACAATGTCTTATGCAGTTTGTACACCTTATTCTTCTAGACTTCTTTCTCAAAACCAACTGGTGGTGTTACATGCAATTCCTCTTATAAAGATCCATTCAGAAATGCAAAATTTACATTGATCTGGATCATTGATCGGTCGTTGATGTTGACTAAAGGAACAACTAATCGAATTGTCTCTATCTTGACAACATGTGCAAAGACATCATCAAAGCAGTGCCTTTATTATGAAGAAACCCTTTTGCAACAAACCTTGCTTTGTGTCTGGTTACTTTACCTTTTAAACTGAGCTCGACCTTGTATATCCACTTCACATCAATTTCTCTCTTCCCATGAGGTAAATTCACTAGTGACCAGGTCTTGTTGACTACTATAGAATCCAATTGTTCTATCATAGCATTCATCTATTTAGAGCCCCTCAATGCTCCGGTCACATTTACTGATCTAATATCTGCATAAAATTCATAATATACCAGCTATCCTTAATAATTTATCACATTATTTGGTGTGACTATATAACCCTACAGTCTGGCTGACATGTTTCTAGTCCTTTGAGGCCCCTTGGTATTTTCTTGAGTCTATACCTCAACTTCATCACCTGATTCTTCATAAACGATTTTCACTGAATCCTTAATGACACTATTACTCCAATCTCATCCATTCAGTTCATCTATGATCACTTTTCTGCTTATTAGGATCATTTGGCTTGATTTGTCATCAACCTTCTTTCTCAGTTGGTCCTGCACACATCTATATGCAATAGACCCAAATATCTTTAAGTGACTCAAGGTTGACTTGACTTCAGAACAACAATCTTCTGGTGTGATCCATTTCAGTCTCTTTATTGGACATTTATCCATAAGGTATGTTGTAGTGGACACAATTTCTCCTCACAATTCTTTTGATAGATTCTTTCCTCTCAATATATTTCTCACCATATTCATGATGACCATGTTCTTTCTCTTTCCAGTCCCATTTTGTTGAGGTGTGTATGGTGGCACCACCTCATGAGAAAATCCCATCTCTTTCACACAATGCCTCAAATTATCTTGATGCATATTCTCCACCATCAGTCCTCAATGTCTTGATCTTGTGACCACTTTTCCTTTCCATCATGGACTTGAATTTGATGAACACATCAATCACAAAGATTTTCTTCTTAATTAAATATGTACACAATTTTCTGCTGAAATCATCTATGAATGTAACAAAATATTTGTTATCGCCAATTGATTCCACTTGGATAGGGTCACATACATCTGAGTGAGAGACTTCAAGCAAGACTCTAGACTTGCTTCATGCATCTTTTCTGAAGCTATTCTTATGTTGCTTGTTCTAGACACGTTCCTCACACACATCACTAGGAATATGGATTTCTAGTAAACCTAAAACCATGTTTCTCTTATTCAAATGATTAATGTCTCTAAAATTGAGATGACCAAGATTGTAATGCCATATCCATTCATCTCTATTGACTGCAGTTTCTAGACACTTATGCTCTATCACATCAAGTTCAATCTTAAAGGTTCGATTATGAGACAAGGTGGCTTCATGATCAATCTTCCACTTGAGTCGTATAATCACATTATTGTGTCCTCTATCATCACTTTATAGTTCTTTTTCAATTATTTGGCCAATGCTAAGTAGGTTACTCTTCATGCCTAGAATGTATAGCACATTTGAAATCAATAGATTCTTTCCATCTTTTCTCATGATCAAGACATCACCAATGCCTTCATCTTCCAAAGTGATATCATTTGCAAACTTTACCTTATTCCTTATGGATTGACTGATGATAACAAACCAATATTTCCTACCAGTCATGTGTGATGAAAATCCTGAGTCCAAGTACCATCGGTCTCTATACTTCTCTTCCTCCTTTGTTGTCACCATCAGCAACACATCTTCATCATCTTGTTTTCCAAGCTTTGCATCATGTTTTTGGTTGTTCTTTTTGTCTACATGACACTCATTAGCATAGTGGCCATGATTTTGACAATTGTAACATTGAACATTAGTTTTGTCAATTTTTTTTTCCTTTCCCTTTATTTATATCACCACCTCTGTGACTACCTTGGTTTGTAGCTTACTTCTGATTTGACGAACTTCCTTATTGATGGTAACTTCTGTCATTTGAATTTTTGTAGCCTCCTCTGTCTTTGTTGTCATTCCATTTTGCTTTGCCCTTTCTATCTCTATTTGATTGCACCTACAATGCCTCATAATTTTTAGTTTTGCTTGCAGACCTCTTCATCATTCCTTACTAATGAGATTCAAGGGTCCCTTGTAGTTCTTCATTTGTCAAGCTTGACAAATATTTGATTTCTTCTATGGTTACTACAACATGATCAAATTTTGGAAGTAAAGATCTCAAGATCTTTGCAACTATCGACCTGGATGACATCACCTCACCATACATTTTGATCTGGTTCACCAACCTAGTCAACCTAATAAAGAAGTCACCTATAATTTTGTTTTCTTCCATATGAAGCAATTCATACAACCTTTTGTGAGTTTGTAACCTCACCTTCTTCACCTTCTCAGCACCACCAAATGACTTTTCCCAGACATCTCATGTCTCATTCGATGATTCAATATCTCCAAAAATTTTAAAATTGTTCGGATCAACACATTGGTGAATTATAAGAGGGATTTATAATTCTTCTTCTTCAACTCTTTGTGAGCATTTTTTTGTTCATCAGTGGCACGATCACTGATTGGTGTCACTCCATTATATACAAGTTCCTATACATATTGATAGTAGAAAATCACTTTCATCTACTTGCACCAATTATCATAATTCTTTCCATTTTAAATGGGAAGATTTATATGAAAGTGACCATTCGAATGAGAAGCCATTGCTCAAGTTTTTTCAAAAATTGCAATGTGAACTCTTGATACCAGATGTTAGAACGAACTTCACAAAAACAAAATCAATCTTCACTTGATTGATACAAATACACAAGTGCAATCACTATTCACTCGAGTGATGTTCACACACATACAGAATTTTGTTTAAGTTTGTTCTTACTCTTCACACTTTAAAATTGAGAGAAAAATAGAAGTTGGAAGGAAGAGAAAATATATTGCATTAACTATTTTTACAAAGTTAAACTCATATATATATATATATATATATATATATATATATATATATATATATATATATATATATATATATATATATATATATATATATATATATATATATATATATGGACTATTTGTTCACTAAGTAATCTCCTCAAAGGCTAACTAACTTCCTAAAATAAATTTTGTTGTATAACAAAAATTTTCTAACAAACAAACAGCTACTTGTTCACCAAGTAATCTTCAAACACTATGAATTACACTATTAACACTGTTATTATGTTTATGGTTGTCGTAACACCGTGAATGTCAAACGTGAAAGGTTTGTAATATGAATTGAAATGATTTAAATAAAATTGTTATTAGTAAGTCTTGGATCAAATGTCACTATTATAAAATATTATCTTCGTTCTTAAATATAAGATTTCGAAGACTAAATCATATTAATTAAAAAAGCTGGTTAGAGTATTAAATTTATTGAGAACTTATATAATTTTACAAGTTTATTTTTAAGAGAGATAAATAATTAATGTTTATAAAAGTGCATTTATTATAAATTACAGAAAATGATATAATATAACATGTAATTAAGAATATTTTTGAAAAAAAAATTATTAATATATTTTAAAAGTTGAAGAGAGAACTATAAAAAAAGACAAGAAAAAAATTCAAGGTAGTAGAATATAAAGGTTTACATATGATTTGCACCAATTGAAAATGTTAGGGACATATAAGCTAAGATTGTAAGAAGCTTATCGGAAGTGCCTTCATTCCCAACATTTCTAATTTTCTAGAACAACAATAGGCAACTTTGCAAATTCTTTCTTCAACGACATTAAATGAGACTTTGTCGTTGTTGGATCAGTAAGCATGAAATTGAGAGAAAAAAATTGTCAATGAAATGGTTACAAAGAATAATAACGGAGAAGATACTCTTTATGAGTGATTCACGGTAAAAGAAAACAAATATTTATTATATGATTGGATTGACTTCTAGGAACTCTAAAATAATTTTAAAAATGTATAATTGATTGTAAATGATTTTAAAATATTTGTTTTATCAAAAATAAAATTGATTTTATTTTTAGAATTGATTTTATTAAAGGTAAAATTTGTAATTTTTATCTCTAAAATTGATTTTGTATAATTTTTATAATAAAATTTATTATTTAATTCACTTTTAAATAAATATATTCTAACATAAATTAATTATATTAAATTCAATTATGTTAAAATCAATTTCGTTAAACTTAATTATATTATAATTAATTTTATTCATCACCAATTAAAATATATACTTAATTAATTACATAGAAGAGAGAGAGAGAAAGATATTTAAAATAATTCACATATAACACAAGGAAATAAATTGATTCATTCTCAATATATTGAAGATGTTACAATAGCAAAGAAAACAACGATACAAATGAAAGGTTCAAATAAAGAAAATCTTAACATTAATATTTATATTAACTCATTTTTTATAGATTACATTACGAGACAATGTTTTATTCGTTAATTTTCTCTCTCAAAATTAAAAAGAAAAAAGAATATGAAACATCTGATTCAAAGTTAGATATATTTTATAAAAATCATCATAAAGAAAATAGTTGGATATTCATTTATTTTAAGAGATTTATTAAATAATAATTAGATTATTGATGATATTTCCAATATGGTTGTGTATGACTCAAAAGTTTTTTTTTTGACACATTCATAAAAGTTTTAGTTCAAAAGACTTTTGGTAGTTACATAGTGGTGGAAGAATCTAATATATCAAACTTCAATATTATTTATGACAGCCTTGTTTTAGAACTTACTAGTGATAACGTAGAAGACAACTACTATTACAAATTTAGTTGTTGATCATAGAAACTAAATTTTAGAAATATTACGCAAATTTATGGTCGCTAGAACTCCTATGATACGTGTATTAAATTATTTAATAAATATAAATAATATTAAAAAAACATTTAATAAATAATTTTGTTAAAACTTGTTTATTATAGATTAGATGTTTTGATTTCCTAATTTCTTTGGTTCGACATATCATGTAGTTTTTATCTAATCTCTTTAAGACACACACACAGATTTTACTTATATAAATGCTTCGAGTCGATATTTAATATCACATATATTTATTTATATAAATGTTTTGAGGGGATATTTTAATGTTGAATTGATGGTTAATTACATATAATTTTTCTTTTAAAAAAAAGAAGTAAAGTGATAAGAAAATTAGCTTCATCCAACAAAATAATATATAATAATATATTAATATTTGCTATTTTAAAATATCTACTCTCGAAAAAAATTTATTTTTTAAATTTATTAAATAATTAATATATTTTATTTATATATAGACCAGATATATTAATTATTTAATAAATTTAAAAAATAAACTTTTTATATAATATAGAATAGAGAGAATATATAATAAAGAGTATAATCACGAAAAAATATTAAAAAAACACAAACCTCTGCAACTTGATGAGAAGCTTCTTTAGGAAAAAGATAAGCCAAACCAATAACATTAATAATCTTTCCAAAGAAGATAAAGAAAACAGGCACAGATGCACCATGTATGCATGCTCCAACAGATCCAACGGCCATTAAGACATAATCATAGAAGTCAGCATATGAGAAAAGCTTCAGCAATGGAACTTTTTTTCCCCTAGAACCACGTTTTGACATAATTGATTTTATGAGATGAGTTGTGAGATAGAAAGCTTCACGTTGTTTGTAGTGATATATCCTTAGCTAAGAAGAAATGAGATTGTGAAATTAAGCACTTGGTGTCTATACTTTGTTTGTTTATGCGATGTTTCTTAGAATCTAAGAGAATCAATTGTACTACTACTAACTAATCTCACAAATTTGAGTAACTTTTTTCTTAAGTAAAATGAATGTAAATTCATACAACAAAAAGTAATGTAAATTCATCTGTTAGTGAGGGGGAGCAATTGTCACGACAGTCCTCAATTTTTTTCATTTTTTTTTCATTGATTAAAACGAATTTGTTTTGGGATTTTAATATATAAAAAACTTCATGTGAAATATTTGCTTCATTGCCTTTTTGACTCGTGAGGGAGTTTCAATCCATCCCATGTTTCTCTTCCTCTCAAAGATTTGAAAATTTTGTTTTTCTTTTCTCTTTCAAAGTGTGGTCAGATCCCTCTCTTCTTCTTTTAAAGCGTGTATATTTGACGTCTATTATGAGAGTCAATAAAACTAACTCGAGCAGTATATTTGATGGCGTAATTCAGAGATCAAATGGGGAGCATTTTTATGTTAGGAATTTTTCTTTTTTGAACAACACACATTTGTTAGAGATACACTATATATTCAGTCAAAATTTTAAGATGATAGGTGTGAGTTACTCACTTATAAATGTTCAAATCTTCACATTTCTAACTAATGTGAGACTTTTCCGCACTACTCATTTGTAATTCTTTTTTAACACCCCCTCAAGTGTGAGTTTTTTCACCGTACTCTCCCTTAAGAGAAATTAACACGCAACCCCTAAAATTAAACATGCAATCCCCCAATTTTTTTAATTCTAATTTTACCCTTAATGAGATACAAAGAAATTTCCGGTAGAAGGGTTGAAATTTCTAGTACATATGAAATTTTCAATACACCCCTACCAAATTTCCGGTAAGAGTAAATTTCCGGTGGTTCATTTGAAATTCCAGGTAAACTGAAAATTTCAAATTTACGTGTAATACCGGAAATTTGAATTATACTTAAATTTCCGGTAGGCTTTATTTTCAGGTTTTTTCATTGGTCGAGATTTTGCCGACATATTTGGAGGATTCTGATTGCACTGACACATTTGTGTGGTCTATAATGCACCACCATTCGTATAAATAGGGGTTTTAGGTGATAGGGTAAGACATCTCAAAAAAAGTCTCTTCTTGAGTATTTGATTTTTGTAGAGTGTATTACAACGGATGCAACCCTGCTGTTGAATTAAAGATTTCAGATGGCTTTGAATCCCTTGCCACCTTGAAAGAAACGTTGAATGGATTGCTGCCTAATTCCGATAACAGAAGGGTGACAAAGGTCGAGTTTCAGGAGGATTGGATTGATACAAATGGAAGGGTGAAATACAACTTAATCGAGTTGAAGAATGATGCAGATGTGAAGGCCATGTGAAAATCATTTCACCGTAGGATAACTAAAGGATTGATCGAGTTGGATGCGGAGATCCAAAGATTCGTCGATGATATAATGAAGATGGTGAAACGTCGAGAGTCATCCGGTAGTGCCTAAGTTTTCTTGTTTAGGTGTACTATTTATTTTTATTGTTTGTTATTTATATTTGTTAATTGTATTAGTTGTACTGTGTTATGTTATTTTCTTCATCGTATCGAAACATGTAATCGCCAAAAGATTATGCAATCAATAAGATGTTTGTTTGTCACAAAATATACATATAATACAACCATAATAAAATAAATCTACATAGGCCCTCCACGGGCAACGTCGGCCAACTTAGCTAAACTAGTATAAACCTCACCATCAGGGCTTACCAACCCCATGAGGTTATCCAAGAGATGAAAATCTCTAACGATACTCCTGACCTCCTTAAGCCTTGGACTCTCAGGGAAGTTCTTCAACTTCAAACCATGTGAAGCGACCTTCAGCACCGAAAGCTCCTGTAAGAAGCAAAAACAAAATATTATACAATTCTTGTAAGCATATCGTAAGCAAAAACAAATGTTATGCAATTAAAGAAAACCAAATATATACCTCGCTGAGTCATATCCTGTAGGCGACATGGTCAGCAAATCCTGTCAGCACGGACCTGTCTGAAGGTCCTCTAGGAAACGCTCCATCGGTGTGTACTGATGACTCAATAGACACATGGGTTGCAGTGTCCATATCAGTCGAGGTCACGTCGTCCACACGCTCATCCTGCTCAACAACATGCTCACCAAACTGCTCCACAACCTGCTCACCAATCGACTACACAACAACAATAGGCACATGTACCTCCTCAACAACCTCCACAACTGCCGATTCAACAATAGGAACAAAAGCATGTACCTCCGCAGGAGCTGGCTCCACACGTGGCTCCTCAGCAGCAGAAAGTCTTAAGCCCCGACAGCAGGGTGCGTGAAACCGTGTCTGCTGCTCAGCCAACCGTTTCAAAAAATTTGGCATTTTTCAAAAAAATATGAAATACCAGAAATTTCAAAATTTCCGGTATCTTACAGGGTACCAAAAATTTTGAAGTCTCTGGTGTGGAAGGAAAATGTTTCCACCAGAAATTTCAAAATTTTTTGTACGAAAATACCTGATTTTTGAAATTTATGGTGCAAAGTACTGAATATTTCACAAAAATACTGGAAATTCCTTACTGTTTTACCAAATTTCCGGTAGTCGCCTTGATATTTTCGGTATCTCCACAGAGATTTGGAAAATCTGGTTGGTCACAAAATTTGGAATTTCTAGAAAATATTTGGGTCTGAGAAATCTTGTATTTTCATACGTTTTGGAGGGTGCCATATATAAGAGGGGTGGCATGTTAATTCCTCCTCCCTTAAGTGGACGTTTTTTCTTCTACATACACATGTATAACCGTTGACACTTTTCAACGGGAAACTCTTACCCACCTGTTGTACCCCAATTTTTGCCCATAAAATCCCTTCATCATACCATGTTGATTTAATCACAACAAGATCACATTAGGGCTTTTGGTTCTCCTCCTCATCTTTAGCTTTGCTCTTTGAGAGATCACCAAACACCTTGACTTGTTTTTCTTTTGTGATTATGCATGTTTTGTTTTGACTTTCTTTCTAATTAATAAAATGCAGTGTTGGTTTGTCTTACTTGTTAATAATGTAGGTAAAGGCAACGTGGCTTAACAAGTTGATCCATGGGTTCATGAGTTTATTTCCATGCCCTAGACAATAAATCTTGAGAAATTCAAACCTCGTCATTGAAGTTATTTTGAAATAAATGTCATGGCAAGGTTCATTTTGGTCCACCACATTTCAAATTTATCAAGGTTGATTCAAAAGTTCAAGGGGTTGATTGAAGAAGTTGTCATGGTTGGACAAGGCCTTGTTCCCATTGGTCACAAGTGCATATTTCTCTCAATTCTCAAGATATGAAAGTGGTTTTGGTTGCTATGATTTCTCATTATCATCCTCAACAACTTCTATTAACAAAGCAAAAGTTTTGATACAAGAAGCTTGTCCAAAATTGTCAAAGTTCCTCAAAGCATTTTCTTGATTTAGGAGCTAGGGTTTTGAACTTCAAAGAAGTGTATCTTACTCATCTTTTGGTATTTTTGAGTGATTACAAAGACATCCTTCTCTTCAAATGGTTATCAACAAATCACTTCAAAAGTTTCAAGGATTTTTCATGTGGAAGATACTTAATGTTGAAGAAAGATTACAAGTCCTCTAGATGAATCCCCAATTTCTCAGGTGTAACTTCAAATAATCATAACTTGGTCAATTTTTATCACCTTGAACCCATTATTTTTCCATAATGATCTTGAGGATGTGAAATTTATGCCTTCTTTTATGTGAAAATTGAGAAAATGGATGAAAGATGACCTAAGGATACAAAAGATTATAGCTCATTTCATGATTTTTTTCCAACTTCAACAATTCATAACTCTCTCAATTTTTGGATATTTTGAATGGTTCAAGTTTCAAAATGTCATTCAAGAGGTATATTTCATGCCATTTTTTTTGGTCAAGAGAAAATTCCAAGAGGAAGGCCATGTTTGGATGCAAAATATTATAAGTCACTTTTGAAGAAAAACTTGAAATATTTCTAAGTTGTCAAGGTGTAGATTATGGTTTGAGAAGGTGAGTTTTCTTCAGCATGCTATTTAGGTGATGAGATCTGTGGTTCCATCCAAAGTAGATGTAGTTCTACGTTTAGAGGCTTTGAAGGTGGTTACGGAGACTAGAAGCTTTTTGGCTTAACTGATTATTATCGTAGTTTATTTGAGACGAGGTCAAGTACGATATGTTATTAGTGAATGAATTGAGGGAATGAGATGTTTGGTATTAGGAAGGATGTGAAGGTATTAGATAAGTGCATGGAGATGTAGCTTATGCCGATTAATAATGATTAGAGTGACGATAGATTTTGAAGAAAAGAGAGGTAATGGTAAAGGAAAAATAAATCCAGAAGAGATTGGAATCATGTTTGTGATGGTAAAGTATCGACATGTGTCAGGGAGAATTTGGGAAATTTCTATCACCAACCATATGTGGGGATGGTATTATTGAGATTGTGATTGGAATGAGATTTAAATGTGAAAATATATGGATTCTCGATGTTGTGAGATTTAAGGGAAAACTAAGGATTTATGAATGTGGTTAAAGTCCTCTACATGGATAAAGACTTCAATTGGAACAAAATGATTTGTAATGTATTTGGTATATGAACATTTTCTGAGTTACAATACTTAACATTTGTGTGATTCTAAGTGAGTGGAAAGTAGACTATGTAATGTGTTTGGGCAATGGTGTCTCATCGCCGAGATCGAATGAGATGGAAATTATGGAAGCATTTGTAAACCTCAAAGGAGATTATTAGACCATGGTGCTTTAGGTGACTTTGAGCACAAGTTCTAAAGAAACGCTATTATAGTTTGGTAATGATGGTTTATGGTCTATTATAGTTGTCGCCTACCTATTGACAAATCGAGGAACTCATCACCC